ATATGCTACTGTTTAGAAATTTTTTTCCATTTTGCTCTTCAAAAACTCATTTTAAAGCCACATTTTTCATTTCCTTACATTGACTTGTGTCTTCATAATGAGATCTAGTTATCGGAAACTGTTAGCATCTGTCTTTTATTACAATGTAAAATTTAGTAAGGCCAATGTATCTAAAAAACAGAAATTCCTTCTTCCTTTATGGACTTCAATGGTAAGAAAATTAGTACTAGATTCTTTTCCCTTGATGTCAACTGTTAACATATTTTTAAAATCCATTTCTCTCGGGCTGGCCCGGTGGCTTAGCGGTTAAGTGCATGTGCTCCGCTGCTGGCGGCCCGGGTCCGGATCCCGGGCGCACACCAACGCACCACTTCTCCGGCTATGCTGAGGCCGCGTCCCACATACAGCAACTAAAAGGATGTGCACCTATGACATACAACTATCTCCTGGGGCTTTGGGGGAAAAAATAAATAAATAAAAATAAAAATAAAATAAAATAAAATAAAATCCATTTCTCTGCATAAACACTTTTTTTGTGTGTGTGTGAGGAAGATCAGCCCTGAGCTAACATCCATGCTAATCCTCCTTTTTGCTGACAAAGACCGGCTCTGAGCTAACATCTATTGCCAATCTTCCTCCTTTTTTTTTCCCCCAAAGCCCCAGTAGATAGTTGTATGTTACAGTTGCACATCCTTCTAGTTGCTGTATGTGGGACGCTGCCTCAGCAAGGCTGGAAAAGCGGTGCGTCGATGTGCGCCCAGGATCCGAACCCGGGCCGCCAGTAGTGGAGTGCGTGCACTTAACCGCTAAGCCATGGGGTCGGCCCTGCATAAGCACTTTTAACCATGGGATTGTCGGGGAAGAGGGAGAATCCCCCTCTGCCCTTTCCCTTAAGGTTCTTCTGGCTGGCCAAACAACTAAAAGACAGGTTAGCAGGAGAAAATAATACCAAGTTTAATAACATATATACATGGGAGAAACCAGGGAAACTGAGTTTCTCAACGCAATAGCAGAGATTCTTGTCTTAAATACTATCTTCAGCTAAAGACAAAGGAGGATGTTGGGGGGTGGGTGGTGTTTTGGGATTTCAGAGGGGAAGAAGACAATTTACATGAAGAGAGAAATGTAAATGTTTGTCAGACAATGCTTTGCAGGGCCACCTATAGAGAATGTGGCCAGAGAGAAAGGAATTATAGTAATGAAGAGTATGTAGGGGCCAGCCCCATGGCACAAGCAGTTAAGTGTGCGTGCTCAGCTGTGGTGGCCCGGGGTTTGCCGGTTCAGATCCCGGGCGTGCACCGACACACTGCTTGGCAAGCCATGCTGTGGTGGCATTCCATATAAAGTGGAGGAAGATGGGCATGGATGTTAGCCCAGGGCCAGTCTTCCTCTGCAAGAAAAGAGGAGGATTGGCAGACGTTAGCACAGGGCTGATCTTCCTCACACACACAAAAAAAGAGTATGTAGATTTAAGTCTTCTCCATCTGTCCTGATAAGAGTTTTCACAGATAAGGTCTTCTCCTCCCCCTCTTCCCACTACACAGAGGGAGATACCTTTACAAATGTAAATATTTGGTAAACAGACCTTTGTTAAGAATGGGCTTAGCGAGGACCCTGCCAGTCTGTCCATACCCAGAGTTAAATTCCTTTAGGCAGTTAGTGGGGGGAGGTCAAATGTCTGTCAGAGAAGATAATCAAGGTAAAGAGATATATTTCAGGGTGGCCAATTTTGATCTCCCACAGGATACTGTGACCATCTTAATTGAAAATGACTACCTTTACAGTAAGAAGTCTTACTGGTATGTTAATTATAAACTACCAACTTTAATATGAAAATTGTGATTAGATAATCTAAACCCCAAAATAATTAATTTGCCCATTCATTGAGCAGCTATTATGTGCCAGGCACTATTCTAGTTGCTGGAAATAGAGCAGCAAACAAAATAGACAATAATTCATGCCTTTGGGAGCCTATATTCTAGTTTGGAAGTATAAACAATTAACAAGGAAAAAAATAAAATTTATAGTATACTAGATGGTAATAGGTATTAAGGGGAAAAATAAAGCAGGAGATGGGAATAGAAATCATGTCAGAAAGAGGTGCAGTAATTGATAGGGTGGCCAGGGAAGGCCACACTGATAAGGTGATATTTGAGAAAACATTGGAAGGAGGTGAAGAAATGAGGTCGAGGGTAACTAAGAGATGAACATTCTGGAAGGAGGGAAGAGCAAATGCAAAGTCCCTAACCAGGAGCGTTCCAGTCACGCTCCAGGAACAGCAGAGGCCAACTGGCTGCAGCAGAAGGAGCCAGAGCACAAACTGGGGTACAAGGCTAAAGGAGCAGAGATGGAGGGCAGATCCCTTGGGGCGTTGTAAGCCATTTTTAGAATTTTGGTTTTTGGTCCAATTGAGATGGGAAGCCTTCAGAAGGTTTTGAGCAAAGGCATGATTTGTTCTGACTGAGGTTTTAAGAGGATAATTCTGGCTGCTATGCTGAGACCAGAATGAAGGGGGGCAAAGGGCAGAAGGAGGAGACCAGGAAGGAGGCAAGAGGTAATAATCCAAATGGAATTTCTGTGTAACTTTAGAAGGATTACTGTTTTAAGGAGGTCCAAACTTTAGAACTGTCAATATTTGTTTAAATAAGACAAATATTTTAATTAGTCCAAGAATATAGATTAAGCAGTGTTTGCTTAAGTACTCATTTATTGTGTAATAATAATACATCAATATTAAAACTCAGTTATGTTTCCTTTATTGTATCACACAATTATCATTAACCCATTTACAATTATCAGCAGTTTAAATAACTGAGATAAATACTGTCATTATGTAGGCCTCATTACTTGAATATTTAAAAAACAATTTTCTTTCCCAGAGTTGTAAAATTTTATATTACCTTTATTTATTGTTTTAATTTTACTTTTCTATTTCATTTTTAGATTCAGAGAAGAATATTAAATTATTGCATTATAACTTGGAACCATATTGCTAAATATTTAAGATATATATTAAAAATCTTATAGCCTAGACCAAATTGTTTTTTTTTTTAAATTTTATAGCCCAATTATTAATATTTAGACACCTTATTTCTTTCCTTTTTATAGTTTTTGGTATCATCTTTTCTCGTATCACTACATTTTACACAAAGTTATCTTTCCTTTTATGGTTGGGAGTCAAAATATGTACAAATGTCACTTTTGTTATAAAAAGCGTTAAAAATCGTGAACATTTCGAGAACTTTGGTAAAAGCTATACTGGCAGAATAGCATTCCCCAGATCAGGAAATAAGGGAGTTAGGATTACGTGTGACCGTGGACAAGGTAATTTACTAATTAATAGCAGCCTCTGGGAGCAAGCAACAACTCCTTTACATCTTAAAATCCCTGTTATCTCCAAGTTATCGTTTATCTCCCAGCTGTGAAATTTTGAGTCCGTGATGCAATGGTAACGATGAACAAATTAGCAATAGAATTGCAAAAAGTTTTTAGGGTCCCTGCTGTAAAACAAAAGGCAGTAATTTGGAATCGACAGTTCAAAAGGTTTCTGTTTTTGGTCTGCCTCTAATCTGCAATTGCATAGTTTATTAAAGACGTAGGACTGGAAGGAAGGCCCGGGGGTTGTTTTAACAATCAGCAATTTATCTATTTTAAATGTAATGCAAAATTTTTTCTCGTATTTACTGTAAACAGTGCCAGATATGTGAATGAGTAGGACGTATTCTCCAACTGTTGAGTGGGTTTTCAGAGAGCCATTCACGGAGTATACTCATGTGCCACTAACTGGCCAGAGCGTTGAGCATGCAAGCAGAGCACACGCCACCTCTCCTTTTCCTTCTCTCTTTGCAAAGTAAAACAGGCTAGACATGTTCGTGTGATGCGAGTGACGTCAGCCCCCACCAGGTCCCGTGACCGATACCCAACCTTCCCACTGCCCCGCCCCCACCGCCGGAGCAGGAAATCTCGCGAGAAGCCGCCTTACTATCAGAACTCACCGAGGTTACGGCAGAGTTACTCTGAGAGGAAGGTGTGGCTGGGTGGTGGAGGTGTTGCTTTGATGCTGCTAACGTTCATGGCCCCAGCAAAGGCCTTTGGGGATTGCCAGAGTCTGGGCGAGCCAACCTAGCACACGGCGGGGGCGGGGGAGAGCGGGTGGCAGTCATATCAGAAGTGAAACGTGGCGCAGGGCGGGCGTCGCCCCTCCTGAAGGGGCTGCGAGGGAGGGAGGGGCCGGCGCCGGGGCCGGGGCGGGGGCCGCGCGGCCT